GTATCGGAATCGGAACAACTCTATTTAGAGGCAACATAATCTCAGTGTCAGTGTACAACAGTAACTATTTTTCTATACATATACATATATATAATAGAGAATCTAGGCCTTTTAATGTACAGTGTCCTGTAGCAGTCTTCTACAAACCACTCTCAATCCTCCTGTTTGTATCTGACAACCTTGAAAAAAAGGTCCTGCTTTGACTGTCTGTGGACAATATCACAGATTAATGTGATATTGCTGGAGGGCATAATGGTTTATTCTTTGAGAATGTCAGTGACTTTAGGGGGACTTCTGGGGACCATAAATGTCTACCAAATTTCATGGCAACCTTATAATAATTTTGTGATGTTTCAGTCTGGATCTAAGTTATGGGCCAGCCAACTGACCAAAATTACCATCCTTAGAGCTCAGCTGCTAACACAGTTATAAAACATGTAGTCATTGTACTCTGTCAGCCACACTGATGGTCAGCTCATCCAGCACTGCAGTGATGGCTGGAGGTTTAACAGGAGGCGTCAGGTGAGCTGGAAGAGCTGAAACAACAGTGTCCGGTTCTCTGGTGGTGTCTGGTGTCCTCTTTTAGGCTGGGCTCCTTACTATCATGGACTTGATGATAAGCATAATGAAAGCAACCTGGCTTACTGCGGTGGCAGGATGAGCATGCTACTTCTGTATGAGCTTTGATTTAATGACGCAGGGTGGACAGAGGAGACCCAGCCTTTGATGAGGCAACCAGAAGTTCTGCAGAACTTTTGAAACCACCTCCTTCACCACTTCCTTTGGGTTGAGGAGTTTAGGGCTGGATGTCTTCTGCCTCTGCTCTGTCAGGCTGCTGGGGTAATTCTGAGTCTAAATATGAGTCTGAATATAAATTGCAATGTCATGTTTGTGCTGTTGAAGTGTAACTTGCCAGACAGGTCTTTCCAGTTGTGTACTATTGTTCACACCAAAGATGATTGTGAAACGAGATCTGCACAGCAACACGCAATGCACTGATGGCAAATTGATCAGCAAATAGAGGCTCAGCAGCAGGGCATGATTAATAAACCGAGGCAGGGATAGAAGAGTGGAAGGACAGTCAGCCTCTAATATCTAGTAGGCTATATAACTTCACTGAGTGTGAAACAGAAGGCAGCTTCACTCCTCTCTCTCTCACTGCTGCCTGTGTGTTTAAAGAAGGGCAGGCCACAAGGTCGAATGCTGGTTGGGGGAGGGAAAAAGGAAGAGGAGGAGCTATTCTCACTGAGACCTCCCCCTTCACTCTCTTTCCTCCTATTGCTGAGCTCCCAGGCACACAGAGAGCACATGGCTGTCTGATTTTGAAACCAACCTCCAATAGAAGGACGATCAAAGTGTCATGGTGGTGCAGGGCATGTGCGCCTGTGCAGTCCCTCCCGTGTCAAGTGCAGCAGAGATACGGAAGCAGAATGTAAGCCTGTGGATATTGTGCGTGTGTAGGACAAAAGGGGGAGGGAAAGCATACACACACTTGTGCGGCTGATGTAACAGAACTGTGACCACAATGCAGTGACGGTTTTTTTTTAAAAGAAAAGAGGGAAGAGAGCTCTTCCTGACTATGTTCTGAACAAGGTAAGATGATATTTTGACACCTAATAGAACTGTGGAGGATATATGAATGAACAGTAAGGATTATAAGATTTCCTGGTTCCTACAGCCTCAAGGCTCAACTGTTCGTCCATTTGCTTCCCTTACAATGAACAGGAACCAGGATGATTATACAGTTTTAGATTAAGAAGCAGGAACAGGAAGTTTTATTATGTAGTCAGCATAGTCAGCATTTCATTCTTCTTTCAAAATATTATTGATAGCCTACATGATCCTTACAAATGATGTCATTTAGACATTAAAACATTTCTTTGACTGTCCTGTTAAAAAAACATCAGAAGACTTTTTTTGTTTTGAGTAACGATGCCAAGTGAGTCTGCCATGCATTGGTATGGTATAAATGAAAGAAAGCTATTTGTTTATGGTTTTAATTAGAAGTCCTTCACAGTGACAGTTGTGGTGTAGATTTATTACACCTCACAATCCTTTCTCTTTAATGTTTCTGTTTATGACACAAGCACATGATGCTATTCATAAGAGCAGTGTGTCAGTATGTGAAAGATCGCTACTCCCCCTGCCAAATAGCACAGAGGGGAAGAGGGATGGAATAAGAGGCAGAGTAAATGGAGACTGGGAAGGTCAATCCCAGTCACATATACTCAGTAATAATTATGTGACATTCAGCTCTGCTATGCTTACATACTTCTTTACCCAAAGAATTGGGTACTTCTTTACCCAATTACCCAATGTTGATACTTTTGCTGTAATGTAGTTAGCAAACATCATCCCTAAGACACTTTATTGTTTTTACTTCTTTTTAGCCATGCTAGCGAAGTGACTTTATGGATAACAATGTCATTATTGGTCCAGACTGACATATCTCAACAACTATTAGATGGATTGTTGTGAAATTCACGTCCCCCCACTTTAGGATGTATTATACAACTTCAATGACCCCTTTAACATCTTGTCCAGTGGCATCATTATGTCAGTAGTTTGGTTTATGACTAAAAAGGCTACCTGCAAAACTATAATGTATTTCCAATCAGCCTAGCTGTACTTTGTGTTTAGTGCTGATAAGCTAATATGGTGAACATGGTAAATATTATTATAACAGATAAACACAAGCATTTTAACATTGCCGTTGTGAGCATGTTAGCATGCTAACATTAGCATTTTGCTAAATGCACCGGTGTGGTTAAGTACAGCATCACAGAGCCGCTAGCGTGGCTGTAGAGTCGCAGTCTTTATCGTTTATGGTCACAGTTGAAGCTGCCATTGGGTTAGTCTTACTAAACAGCTAAGTTGGATTAAACTGAAAGGTCATATTTGATTTTAATCAAAATATCAGACTGCAACTTCATGATTATTTAGAAAATAATCTTTAACTTTGAAATGTTTTTTTAGATTGTGATAAAGTTTTGCACTTTACTAAGAATACTGTGTTGTCTCTGTATTTCAGATTGTGCACATCTACATTTCCTGATTTACCTCATTCCATCATTATCACTCCATCATGTCGCTGCTGACTCACGTGCTGGCGTGCCTGTTTGGTATGGGCTCCTGGGTGGCCATCAACGGGATGTGGGTAGAGCTGCCCCTGGTCGTAAAGGATCTCCCGGAAGGCTGGTATCTGCCGTCCTACCTCACAGTCCTCATCCAGATGGCCAACATAGGTCCTCTCTTCATCACTCTGATGCACCGCTTCCGCCCAGGGTTCCTAGATGAGCGGCCGGTTATCTACTGCATTGTAGGGTTGGGGATCATTGCTACATTCCTGCTGGCTTTCTTCTGGAAGCACACAGTGACAATAGCGGGCTCTTTGCACAGTGTGCCCCTGCTGGTGTTAAGCTTCCTGCTCTCTGTGGTGGACTGCACCTCCTCTGTTACCTTTCTGCCTTTCATGATGCGGCTGCGGCCACAGTACCTTACCACGTACTTTGCCGGTGAAGGCCTCAGTGGTCTGGTGCCTGCACTGGTGGCTCTGATTCAAGGTGTTGGTGTAGTCCACTGTCAGAATGCCACTTTGGCTGATAACGCCACTACGGTTGGCAGCGAAGAGCTACTGGCCATCTACCAGCCAGCTAAATTCTCCGCCCAGGTCTTCTTTGTGTTCCTCAGCGCTATGATGGTTGTGTGCATGGTGGCCTTCATCCTCCTCAACCATCACCCAGCTGTGGCTCGGGAGCGAAATAACGACCTGTACTTCAGTGGCGATCTTGCCCCTGATAAGAGAGAGCAAGGTCTGTCTCTGCACGCCCAGACGCCAGAGCAGAAGCCAATGATCAGCCCTCTGGAAGCTGTCAATAGGGAACCCAGGAGCTCTTTTGGGATGGGCACGTATAACAACCTCGAGGTGTTGTTCATCTTTGTCGTACTGGCTTGGGTCAATGCTCTGACCAATGCAGTGCTGCCCTCAGTCCAGTCCTACTCCTGTTTGCCTTATGGAAACCAGGCCTACCATCTGGCTGCCACCATGGCAGCTGTAGCTAACCCAGTGGCCTGCTTCATTGCCATGTGTATGCCCATCAGGTAAGAATGAAATGATAAGTTTTTTTCTGTCTCCTCCAACAGCAGAAATTTGACAAAACAAGAATGGATAGGCTCAGTCATAACCCCATTTTGTTGTGGCCATAGCTTAAAAAAACTGAAACGATTATCTTATGAAGTGGTTCTGTGTAACAGAAAATGCTCAGTTTTACCTTATGCATCAATACTTGTTTCCAGGTCTCTCATCTTCATGGGTTTCTTGACCATGGTTGGGACTGGATTTGGAGCCTACATTATGGCCATGGCTGCTCTCAGTCCCTGCCCCCTGCTGGTCCACAGTGCCTCTGGAACTGCAGTCATAGTAAGACTTTTTCTAATGAATTGGGACATGAAAATGTGTTATTTCAACAGCAAAATATATGACTAAATAGCAGTCAATTTTTAATCACATGTTCTGCCTTTTAAATGTGGCTCATGCTTCACCTTATTAAAGAATGAAAGTACAACCCACCTGTCATGGCCACATGTACGTTCATATTTGTTATGATTTGGGAGTGTAGTGTGATTGGCAGGTTTTAAGATCAAGTCGTGTCAACTCAGTCCTGTCTGACCTGATTAAGACAATACTGTCAAACCATGTTTGTGCCAAATTAATGAACACTCATTTACTTTCTCAGAGGAAAGCACAGATGTGTTGATACACGTGTATATGAGATAGCGCTCTTGTACAGGGTTGCATTATCTGGTCAACCCCTGTATCTGCTAGCAATAACTTTTGTCAGCATAAAGAAACATCATGCTGCTATGTAACTGGTATAGTGAGTATGGTGTTGGTAATCAGTGTCCTAACACAACACTTAATGGTTCTGGTTATCGTCATTTCATTAATTTTTTTGTGTATCTGGACTTGCAAATCTGGCCTACAGCAGTGAAAAAGAGAAAGAGAGTACTGTGAAGCAAGAGGTGCTAACAGATGCAAGAACATCAGCAAAAATAAAGCTATGAAAGATTAAGTTTTGAGAGTCTTCTTCTCATTAGTTGCTCTTGTGACCTAACAAATCAGATTTTTACCTTATGAATGTATTATATTTTATCTTTCTCCTTTGGTGATGTAACCAATTTTGTCATAACTGTATCACAAATAAATACCATAATTTATATAGTCTTTCTACACAAAGTGCTGAACAGTGAATCAGATTGAACAATAAATAATGCAAAAAATAATGAGACAAAATTAGTAACAATGAGCAATACACAAAACGAACCAAACAGTTAAAAACTTAGTTAAAACAAATGCAATATGATGTTTTAAGCACAAAACTATTGAGTGTTTCAGCAGTCATGACCAGGTAACTGCAATTCATGAACTGATTCTGTTTTTGATTGGAGAGACTTCATGTTCCAACCTGTTCATGACAGCAGACCAGTGAAAGCCACTGAGCTGAATAACAAGGACTGGGTGTCGGATCATTGTGATATTATTCATGATATGCATTAAAATTCATCTGTTCTGTGTTGCAGGTGCTGACCTGGATCGTGTTTGTCCTGTCGCTGTCCTATGTGAAGGTCATCATTGGGGTGATTCTGAGGGATGAGGGTCACAGTGCTCTCGTGTGGTGTGGAGCAGTAGTGCAGTTGGGCTCCATGGTTGGGGCTTTATCCATGTTCCCATTGGTCAGTGTCTATGGACTTTTTAAGTCAGGTGATGCTTGCAACACCAAGTGTCCGATGTAGTGAATGAGGTGTAATTTGCGCTTGTTTTTATTAGCACTGAACTTACCGCAGTCATGAGCTTTACGTAGGTCTGTTCCTATTTGTTTCAAGAGAGCTGAGAGGTCACATGTGTTTATCTACAACAGTATCCTGGTGTTGTAACAGATTTGTTTCTATCAGAGTCAGACAGTAGATTTATGTTTTGTATAGTATATTTATTGACTGATAGAGTGAACTCTACACAAAGAAAAGAAAAAGACACCTGTATTATCAATGTGCCAGACCACACACAAGACCATTTTGTTGCTGAGCATATTATACTTCCTTCTCAATTCAGAGGTCAAAGCCAGTTTACTTGAACTGTTAACATTATGTAAAAATATAATTGATTGTTGCTTTTATAAGAAGTGATGGTACTTTTGGTTTTAAAATGTGCCTTAAATTAGAGACACTGAAAGATGTAGCCTTTTTTTGGTGTACATTGTTTATTATTATACCTTCCTTTGTATGTGTTACCTGGTGGAGAAACTGTTCAACAATACCAAATAAACTTGTTTTATTGCTACTAAATTGATTATACTGCAAATTCTATTAAACATTTACCCTATCCTAACCCAGCTGGGGCAGAGGACTTAATGCCCAAGGGAAGTGAGGGTACAGGGGCAGAAAGTACAAAAGCAAGGTCAATGGTACGGTAGATAGGGCAGTAGGGGGAGACACAAATAGCATTATCCTGTCTTAAAAATTCTTCTGTTGTGTGTGTGTGTGGTTGAAGTGGTATCATTGAGTAAGAAGTTGATGGACACTTTTGAATCAAAGACAAAAGCACCATTCTACCCACTCACTCCTGTGCATTTTTAAAGGGTACAGATTAGACATATAAAGGATAAGAGGATAGTATAAAATAAATAAATAAATACAATGAGAAGGAAGAAATAGCCTACAAGGAAAGAGAAGAGAAGAAAAGAAAAAAAATGAAACACTATTTATGCACACCCAGTCTGACCCCAAATGATAGATGAAGTAAATGATATGTAAGTTATAAAACTATTTGTCTTTATAATATCTGAATGTTTCCTCTCTTCTGCAGTTGAGAACAGTGGATGGCTTCAAGTCCAATGCATAACAATTTATCATGAAATATGCTTTGTTATACTAATTTACCACATATTTACACATATTTACACTATTTCTCACCTATTATTATTTGATTTGAATTATTGGTTCAAATCTATGCACACTATGTGCCATGGACAATCCATTAGTAGTGGTCTCCTGCACGTCTTTGACTCCAACACTAGAGGTCACTGTATGATTAAAAGATCCTCATGAGAAACTGAGTCCTTCAGCTGCAGTCAAGCTTCAAGATTGAAGTAATGCTACAGTTCTGATCCAGATTGATGAGCCAGATTTGTTAGGAAAAGTCATATTTACTAAATGAGTCTATAAACAGAGTATAAACAGAAACTTCTTGGGTTTTTCCACATTTAGAGAGAAATATCTCAGCCTTTGTTTAGGTGTAGGAGTGATCTACGGTGTTTGCCCCGGTCACCAGAGTCATGTCTGCATCATATCCTCCTTACACTAAATCAAAGAGAGAGTGTCTTATCCATGTAGGTGTATTTATGTGTGTGTGTGTGTGTGTGTGTATTTATCTATCCCCCCAGTCCACGGGGATAAATAGGAATGAGGAACTCATGGCCAGTCAGAGTCTGATTCAGATCCCAGTGGTTCCTCAAAGAACATCTGGGGTCATCATCTCCTGGTGTCTCATGCTTCACCTATTCTCCTTATCTCTCCCCATGGTTTCTATGACTTATGGTGTGCTGAGTTTAAAAACTGCAGTCCTGTTTGGAATGATTTTAGCAATAGTTTAAAATCGGAATATGGAAAAACATTCAAGATTAGGTCGAGTTTTAATATGTTTGTCTGAAATTGTCTAATAAAAAAAAAAACAGAACGACTCCCTTTAAGGATTGTGAAATGATCCAAATGCACTGAGATTCAGACAGGTGGACAGTTTGTCCAATGTGAATGTGGGTGGCAGGGTGACACAAGTAACATAATGAGAGAAAGGGAAGACTGCAGTCTTCCTTATCTTTCTGCCTGCCTCTCTCTTTCTCTCATTCAGTCCAAATATTTTGATATCTCCTTTTCCCCAAGCTCCTTGTCTTCCTCGATTCATGCATATGGCAGACTTTGTGACCGTAATTTCAATTTAAAACACATGAGGGGAAATCCTAGCCCGCGTTGCTCTTTAATGGGCCGTCATGGGATTGGAGTATGCAGAGAATGATTGAATTTTGTGAGAAGGCCAGGAACGATCAAGTCTCGCCTTCCGTTATGCAATCGACCATTCCCCTCTCACAACGCGACGTCTGGTAAAACCTAGAGGAGCAAGAGGGGGGCTAAGGGCTGGAAACCTCAACGTCTAGACCAAACGAGAGAAAAATATTTCTTCTTCTAAATGACTCACGACTATATAAAAGAGAAACTCAGCTATCATATATAAAAAGAGCCAAATGAGATGTGATCCACCACATCAAACGCAGATATGTCGAATAGGGCTGCTTTTAATGGTTGTAAATGAGTCTTTTTACACTGTAATGCATGACATCCTATATTTCCTCACAGACGGAAACATATGGATCCTATACAAAGCCTGCCATACTGTTTTATTTATATGATTGTGTCATGTCTGTTTTTTCCCTTGACTCTCTCCACCTGCTTGGCCCACTTTGACAATGTCAAGATAAAAGCACTGCGACTCCGAGGCACTGAGATTACCACTTTGTGCAAACTTTTTCACACCCACTGTGTTGGATTACACCGCCGTGCTATATCCTTTCAATGAAGCAAACAGACTACCTTTCCCGTTAAGTCCATTATATTCAAATGGACCGGGTCTTTTTCTTTTTTTTTCTTCTTCACAACAAGACATAAAGTAATCAAAAGTTAAAAGCAAACACTCAAGGAGGCACTTAGCAAAAAAGAAAAGCTTTTATGATAAAACATTCATATACAGTGCAGGAGACAGGTAATCTTTGAGGATGATAGGGTTGTCTTGTGGTCAGTTTTAGTATAGTGTGGCTTGGGGAGCCTTGTAGATGAATGCTCCTAATAACATCCCCGCCCACCCATCATCCAGCGGACCATCCAGGCAAAACAACTAATACCTGAGTGTATTTCTTCAGTGGTGTGAAGTATGCCTTAAAGAGCTGTTGGAGGCTGCAGTAAAGTAGGGTTCATTACCTTGACAGACTGATGACAGTTAAGACTCGCAGAGATGCACGCGCACACACACATAAAGTAAAGGCTAAATAATCTGCTATCAGTGCTCCTTGTGTGACACACACACACAGCAGGATATCTCATATAAATAAGAACACCTGAGCTATAGTCAAAAAAGGAAATGCATCAGTGTTTGTTGGAGCTCTAAAATGTAAGATTGCTTTCTTGCAAGACTTTTGAAAGTCATTAGGTGAAGGTGTCCGAATCAATATGTACTAAACATGCTGTGGGTGCACAGAAATGTTTGGATTAGAAAAGAGTGAGAAGAATGGTACCTCTCTCATGCTGGTACACTAAATATAAAGGTACAGTCAACATCCAGTTAGCTTAGCTTAGCATGCAGATAACCAGGGGAAACAGCTACTGTGACTCTGCCCAAAAGGAAAGAAGAAGCCTTAGTGTCATGGAAAACATGGTTTTGCCTGGTTCTGTGCTAGACTTTCACTGTGATATAACCAAATACAATGTGTACAAGCTTTATAGGTGCTGGTAGATGGATTTATGTTACCTTGCTACCTTTGGACAGAGCCATGCTAGCTGTTTCCTACATTTCCAGTCTTTATGCCAAGCTAAGCTAACCGTCTACTGGCTGTAGCTTCATGTTCATCCAAAGTTAACAGGCTATTTTTTGACTGGGTGTAGTAACTTCCTTGGGTCTTGTCATCGCCTGGAGTTTTTTAGGCAACCTGTGGAGACATTAGTTAAGCACATAGGCTAACCCTCATAAAACTAGAATATGTAGTTTTTACACTCATTTTTTTGTAAAGATTAAATGCATGTCAATGAATGAGCTTTAAATTAGCTGGAAGGCCGGTTTTATTATCTGTGGACAGAGCCAGCCTAGCTGCTTTCAGTATTTATGCTAAGCTAAGCTAAGTGTTTGCAGCCCTGTAGCCCTTATATACCTTAAAGAATACAGAGTGGTATCGATCTCTTGATCTAACTCTTGGCAAGAAAGCAAATAAGTTACTTTCCCAAAAAGCAAACTTGCTTTAATAATTTGAGCTAAAAATCAGGATTATAGCTTTGGTTTAGTTTGAATCAATACATGGACCACATGGAATTTGTGGTTCTGCATTTTCAAATTGGAATTCCTCCTTTTATTTGGACAAATCATAACCAACCTAGTAAAAAAAAAAAAAAAAAAGAGAAATAACTAAAGCAGCTAACTCTCACTCCTTCATGTCGGGAAGTCAGAATGCATGGGTTGCATGGGGTCAACTTTAGGTCACACTGGGCATCCATTAGTGGCCTTATTTAGAGTCTTATTCCTTTAAGAGGAGTGATTGGCCAGCAAAGACAAAGAATCATTACCTTTGCCCGCCCCCTCCCTGCCAGCAGTCAATAATGAGGGATCATTAAAATGAATAGATGGACATTCCCCTTTTCTCCGGATCCTTATTGCAAAATCAGTGTCAGGGGAAATGAAGATTGAGCTTGGAGAAGGCGTCTAAAAGCCTCACAGTGATTGTCGTGAACTCATCTCCAGTGCCAGGCTCCTTTATCTACTGTAAGAGTCTGCACCTGCCTGAACTCTTGACTAGCAAGGGCTTTTACTGTAGCCCATTAAGAGCATCCCTAATGTGTGCTACAATGTACTTCAACATAAACATTCTGCATATGTACCGAAACCTTTACAGCAAACAATGGAAGAATGATTGCTTGGGATGTCTTGGAGTATTTTATTTTTGATGAAGAAATAAAGCTCTTAGAGTGAACCAGAAAGAGGCATTGAATACATCAGCTTTGATGTGGAGAATAGAGAACTCACGTGTTGTGATCATATAAACAGATCCTTAAAGATAATTCTCACTTTTCACATTTCTTAAGCTCAAACATCTGTCCCTTCGCTAAATTTTATAAATCCTTGCACAACATTTCACGCATCACAAAAAGAGAGAGCGAATCAAGCTGAATGATTGCAGATGGAGAATAAAAGACGGCACCAGATTTTCCAGGCACCATCTGGTTGCCTTTCTGAGCGTCTCTTAAAGTGTCTTTTAAAAAGGTGATTTGTCTGTGGGTCCGCAACGATGTGACCATGTCAGCGTGTCAACGGGTCATCTGCTGCTCTTGTCACATGTGAAACGGTCCCATGAAAGGGGTCCATGTACACCTGTGGAGCCCCCCAAAACCCCACCCTAAACAGATAAAAAAGACACATGTAAACACGTGCTCAAATCCACACACATATGGTCCTCATCGTCTTGCTTTATCATCCTAATTGATAAGACGGTCTGTTTATAGTCATCTGACATGTGTCTCTGAAGAAAAAAAAT